TTTTCTTTTTTTTCATGAGATATGTGAGAAAGAGACAGAGACAGTAGAAAAAAACATTGAAATTATTATCACTACAGCATCAAAGACTAAAACTGTCCTGGCTTGAAGACTGATTCCTTATGGGATGATCTATATTGGTAGATTTTTGTTCTACCTTTAGTGGGGAATCAATGAATTAAAGCTCATTACTTTTTTTTTGAACATATAGCCATTCTGGTTGTTGACATTTTCCTATAACACAGGAAAATCTACTGTTTGATTTTACTGGGACTCAAAGGTTTGCATTGCTAATTGCTGCACTGATAACCTGCCCTATATTAAGAATTTAAGGATTGAACTTAATATTCTTATTATATCTCTTCTCACTAAAAGATAAAGTGTACTGATTTTAATGTATGTCATCATGGCTATGGAATTCATATATCCTGGGAATATCAAGACTGAAATTTCATGGGCTTTTCTTTACATTTAAAAAGATTCTTCAGAAACATCACATCCAGCCTCCTCATTTTTCAGATCAGAGAGCTGAGCCCCAATGAATCAAAATGAATTGCGTGTGGTGACCCAGACGCTGGTGACAAATCCAGAAATACAACCTGTTCTATTCCAGTTTAATATTTTCACTACAAACATTTCTTCCTTTGTAGCCTTTCAAGGGTAATTTTGAATTATTTACTGATGTTTTGAATTTCTGGATTCATTGTCAGTGTCTAAAATAATGTGTGAAATAAGAGCCTAACCAAGTCTTCTATAATAAAGCAACTAAATTTATTTAGAAATGCCTGTTAGGAAAGCCAAGTTTTGAAGGGGTTTTAAGACTATCGCATTCCAGGATATTTTTAGATGAGAAGAGAATAGAATCCTGGAAACAGGAACTTTCTTATTAAATAACATGATCCCAGTCTTCTAAGAAACCAATTTAGCTTGTTAAACTGATTCTCCAAGGACATATTAAGCGTGCCGGTTTTGCCTTTCTTCACAACCTTCAGAATTAGCTTTCTCCTCCTTCCACTCACCTCCCGAAATATATTAAATTAGAGCTCTGTCTTCTTCAATCTGGAAATATTTCAGAGAAAGTAAACATAAAAACATGAGCTTTGGCCGGGAGCAATGGCTCACACCTGTAATCCCAGCACTTTGGGAGGCCGAGGCAGGTGGATCAGTTGAGGTCAGGAGTTCAAGACCAGCCTGGCCAACATGGTGAAATCCTGTCTGCACTAAAAATACAAAAATTAGCTGGGTGTGGTGGCACGCACGTGCTTGTGATCCCAGCTACTCGAGAGGCTGAGGCAGGATAATCGCTTGAACCCAGGAGGCAGAGGTTGCAGTGAGCTGAGATCACGCCACTGCACTCCAGCCTGGGCAACAAAGTGAAATTCTGTCTCAAACAACAACAAAAAAGAAAACGTGAGCTTTCTAGGCACCATGAACACAAATCTCAAGGAAAAAAATTCCATGTCAATCTGTTTCCTTAAAATGTCATTATAAAACTGTATAATAATTTGAATTAATGATCATTGAAATACATATACTAGATATATCTATATTAGGAAATTATTCCAATCTCTAAGAATTCCTTTATTTATTCTGTCACTAAAAATATGACAGGCTGGCCATGGTGGCTTACACCTGTTTTCTCAAAACTTTGGGAGACCAAACTGGGAAGATCACTTGAGGCCAGGAGTTTGAAACCAATTTGGTCAACATAACAAGACCCTGTCTCTACAAAAACTAAAATAATAATAAGTAACACATGTTCATATTAGAAAATCACTCATGAGTCTGCCACTCAGACAGGACTTCTATGAATTGCTTGGTGTGCTTTTTGGCCAGTATTCATTTCAATGCTTCTATCCATGTATCTACCTTTCTGTCTTTATCTTTTAAAACATTTACCATCCCCTTTATACAATTTGTGTGTTGTTTTCCTCTATCATTTACCTTTTTGGTCTAATTACTTTTGCATGTCCTTCGATATAATTCAAATATATGATTTTATTTTTGGAATAATGATCTCTTAGGCAGTGTTATAATTAAATCATTCAATTCTCAATTCTTTTTTCTTGGACATTCAGGCCATTTTTTTTTTTTGCATGCAATTTTGATGTCATAGAAATCAGCACCTATTAAATATTTACTACGAGATAAATGAAATGCTATATTCTTTACATATATTACTTCCTTAACTGACTGTAACAATTTCTGATATAAACATTCTAAGTCCTATTTTGCAAAGAAGGCTCAAGGGTTTTCAGAAGACAAATAACTTGTCCAAGGTCAAACTACAAGTCAACGGTGGAATCTGAATTTGAGCTTCCAAATCAAAAAGCCAAGTTTTTACCCATGGCTATACTACCACCACATGGCTATTTCATTTTTCAAGGACATTCAATTATTTTGCCTGCTTTTTAATTGATATAATAATCTTTTGGTTATTCTTTTATTATTATACTTTACATTCTAGGGTACATGTGCAGAACGTGCAGGTTTGTTACATACGTATACATATGTCATGTCGGTGTGCTGCACCCATTAACTCATCATTTACATTAGGTATATCTCCTAATGCTATCCCTCCCCCCTCCCCCCACCCTACAACAGGCCCCTGTGTGTGATGTTCCCCTTCCTGGATCCAAGTGTTCTCATTGTTCAATTCCCACCTATGAGTGAGAACATGCAATGTTGGGTTTTCTGTTCTTGCGATAGTTTGCTGAGAATGATGGTTTCCAGTTGCATCCATGTCCCTACAAAGGACATGAGCTCATCCTTTTTTATGGCTGCATTGTATTCCATGGTATATATGTGCCACATTTTCTTAATCCAGTCTGTCATTGATGGACATTTGGGTTGGTTCCAAGTCTTTGCTATTGTGAATAGTGCCGCAATAAACAAAAGTGTGCATGTGTCTTCATAGCAGCATGATTTATAATCCTTGAGTATATACCAAGTAATGGGATGACTGGGTCAAATGGTATTTCTAGTTCTAGATCCTTGAGGAATCACCACACTGTCTTCCACAATGGTTGAACTAGTTTACAGTGCCACCAACAGTGTAAAACTGTTTCTATTTCTCCACATCCTCTCCAGCACCTGTTTCCTGACTTTTTAATGATCGTCAATCTTTTAATAATACCATATATCCAATTTATTTTCCCATATATTTGCCATATCATCTTTATCTTATATTAATTAAATTCAGGATTCATTGGCTAGATTTCTAATTTGTCAATATTTTGATAATTTCAGCTACTACAGCTTAATATCAGCAAAGTTATATTACATCCCCCTCACCCCTGCTGCTTCTCCTCCCCCAATAACTGTCTGTTTTCACTCATGTAGATGAATCTTAAGTTTGCTTTGTTAAATTTCAAACCATTTCCACCTGGGGATTACACTGACTCTAGGAATTAATTTGAGAGCAGTAAGTATTCCTTCCTTTAGTCAACAAATATCAATGGAATTCCTACTGTGTGCTAGGCACTGCTCTGTAAGCCAGCTCTCCATCAATGAACATGGCACATACAAACCTCAGTAACTACAGGGCTTACCCTCTTGTTGAGAGATTCTGAAAATAAACCAGTAAGTAAATCAAATGTATAGTTTGTTAGAAGATAGTGTTATGTCAGCCAGAAATAATGAAAAAAAATTACTTCTAATGATTGTATTTCTTTCTAGGCTTCTTGTCTTGTGTCATCTATATTCTGGCATCTAGAAAAAATGTTGGCAGGCTACTGCCGGAGGACTAAATTCAGTCATCAGTATGTTTTTTCATTGTTTAAGATTGTAGTACACATAAAAATAAACATGACATAAAGTTTACCATCTTAACCATTTTTAAGTGCACAGTTTAATGGTATTAAATATATTTAGTGAGTTTTTTTTCTGGATTAAAAAATAATGATATATATATATAAATATATATAAAAACATAAATTTTACCATCTTAAATCTCTTAACTTTTACAGTTCTGTGGCATTTGGTACATTCACATTGTAACGCAACCATCACCACTATCCATCTCCAGAACTTTTTAACTTTCCAAGCTGAAACTGCACCCATTCAAAACTCTCTATTCTCCCTTCCCCCTAAACCCCTGGAAATCATTGTTTTACTTTATATCTCCATGATTTTGAGTACTCTAAGTAATATGATTTTGACTACTTAGAGTACTCAAAATCATCATATAAGTCAAATTCCTCATATAAATGGAATCACACGGTATTTGTCTTTTTGTGACTGTGACTTACTTCAGAGTGTAATGTCCTCAATGTTCATCCATGTTGCAGCATATGTCAGAATTTCCTTCTTTTTAAAGACTGAATAATACATTTTACTTATCTACTCATCTGCATTGGACATTTTGGTTACTACCATGTCTTAGTAATTGTAAGTAATTGTTGTGAACATGGTTGTAAAAAGTGCTTCTTCAAGACCCTGCTTTTAATTATTTGGGGTATATACCCAGAATTACTGGATCATATGATAAATCTAGTTTTAACGTTTTGAGGAACCTGCATACTGTTTTTCACAGTGGCTGTACCATGTGACATTACCATCAGCAGTGCACAAGAGTTCCAATAACTCCACATCCTCACCAACACTTATTTTCTGGCTTTTTTTGTTTTGTTTTGTTTTTTTTTTTTTTTTTTTTTTTTTTTTTTTTTTGGTAGTAGCCATTGCATTGTAATGGGTGTGGGTGGTACCTCATAGTTGTCATTTGCATTTCCCTAATAATTAATGACATTGAACATCTTTTTATGTGCTTATTGACCATTTTACTCAATCTGTTTTTTAAAATAAAGTATTATTGGAACAAAACCACACCCATTCTTTAAAAATTGTCTGTTAGCATCATATTGGCAGAGTTGTAACAGAGACAACAAGGATACAGAGCATAAAATATTTACTATTTTGTCCTTTGCAGAAAAATTTTGCCTATTGAATATTGCCTGGAACATGGTATGGAATATTGCCCAGAACTAACTTCAGTATGCATTAGAGTCACCTGCCAGACTTGTTAAAACTTTGATTGCTGCTCTGTGCTACTTTCTGGAGTTTACAATTCAATAGGAATCAGGTGGGGCTCAAGAATTTGCATTTCTAATAATTCCCAGAGGATGCTGGTATGCCTGGTTCACGGATCACCGCTTTAGAACCACCGATCTGGAACTATAAGGAAAAGGTAAATAGTGGTGATGGTGGATATCATTATCTTGCTCCTGATTTTATTGGAAATATTTCTAGTTGCACTATTAAAGAATGTTGATTATTGATTTAAGATAGATATTTTAAAACGTGAAAGAAGAATTCTACTATTTTATTCAGTGGTTTTTTTGTTCGGTTTTGTTTATTAAATCAGGAATGGGTATTGAATTTTTATCAAAAATATTTGAACATTTATCAAAACAAATCTGGGAAGGAAAATGTTTTTATGTGGCTGCATCATCCTTTTATTTGTATACTTATATGTGTTGTGTGTGTGTTGTTGACCAGGAGGGCCTTAGCATTCCCCTCACCTTGGCTTAACTTGAGACAGATTTCTTCTGCGTCCTTAGACCCTTAACTTCCTTTTCCTTAAGAGGGTTTACTTTAGAAAACTTGCAGGCCGGGCGCGGTGGCTCAAGCCTGTAATCCCTGCACTTTGGAGGCCGAGACGGCGGATCACGAGTCAGCAGTTCGAGACCATCCTGGCTAACACGGTGAAAACCCCGTCCCTACTAAAAAATACAAAAAAACTAGCCGGGCGTGGTGGCGGGCCACCTGTAGTCCTGGCTACTCGGAGGCTGAGGCAGGAGAATGGTGTAAACCTGGGAGGCGGAGCTTGCAGTGAGCTGAGATCCGGCCACTGCACTTCAGCCCTGGGCGACAGAGCGAGACTCCCGTCTCAAAAAAAAAAAAAAAGAAACTTGCAATTGCACACTTTGCCTCTTTGAAATATGAACTTCTCCAAGACTCTTGCCAGTTTTACGAACCAGGAATGTTTTTCAAGGAACCAAGACCATCTCTTTGAAAGATAATCATCAGGAAGGAGTGCTCCTGTCTCCCAGTCTTTACAGGAGGTTAGGGACCTCACTTAGGCCCTTAGCAAACACAGAGGGCCTATCTCAGTGACCAAGACCCTCCTCCCAAATGTCTTCCATCTTTCAGCACCATTTCACCAGCTCACCTCTCTGCTTAAAAACTCTCTTGCCTTTGTTTCAATGGAATCAGTTCAGTTTCTCTCCCTATTGCAATAGTCTTGAGGTAACATGTTCCTTGATAATGTAATTTTTTTTCCAGGCACCAATCTATTTTACAGAGGCATAGAAAGCATTATTTGCTGGTGACCAAAAACAAAACAAACAAAACAAAAAACCAAAAAACTTGTTTTCTATTTTAAACCAAATTTTGTATGTAGGTATTTCTTATCTTTTTTATTTTATTGGACCCACCATAGGTTTGTTTTGACAATTTGCAATGTGTATGCATATTAGTAGTATTCTCCCTTGCAAAGAACCAAGTCGTATTTTTCCTAATACATGAGTTTTTTCACATCTGTTTTATTTATCCATTTTCCCTCAGTTTTAATTTACCTTCACAGAGCACATTTAATTTGCCAATGTTTGAATGCCTTTTAAAAAGAGTTCAATTTATATGGCCTTCACTGAGACACAGCTGTAACTCACAGAGATTTACAGGATGTACTCTTAATCAATTTACACTAAGAATGCTATTTTCATTTTATATTAAATCTAAAAAATCCAGTGGAAATAAGATATAGGCCTTTTTATTCAAGTGTTATGTTATGATTGTTTATAGAATTACTATTATAATCTTACATATTTAATGGAAACCATAGACCTTGTCTTTTCAATATGTAGCTTCAATATGTAGGCTATGTTTTGCACTATTTTAAAAAGCAATTTTATACTGAACAACTTGTGTTTAAAGACTTTGAATGCTGAAATGTATTAATTCCACAAGAATTGCTTGAGTTTTTGGACTTCAAAATATTGCACCTAAAGCTAAAACAGATGCTGTTAAATCTAGAATGATGCAGTAGGAAATAATTTGTCTGTTTCAGCTAATGTTTGAAAGAGTGTATTTGCTGTTAAACTATGCCTCAGACTGGGGGAAATATTGTTTTCCCTTATTTCCTCTCTCTTGTTTCTTTACTTCAGTGTAACAATTACCAAGGTTATTTTTGTTATTAGTCTTTAACTTTTACTTCTTTAGCCTGCTAGGGAAATTAGGGGCAATAAGAAAACAAATGTCTTTTTTAATGACCATGAGTAAATGTGAAGGAAACTTTAATTAGGAAACCCATTTTCTGTGTCCCATTTGAAGCTAATAGCCATGTTCTAGCATTCAAGGAAGAATAGGCTCAGTTTGTGGCACTGGTACTTTTGCTCTTGGATGGAACTGCACTTACCCCAGAGTCTTAGTGGAACAAAAATGTTACTGAAATACTACAAGGGAACATAATATGTAACTATTGGTTCATCATTTGTTCAATTCTTTTTTTGTTGTTTTTGGCTCACCAAAACGTGTGCTTCATATGCCATTATCTATTCTGATGTTCCCGGGTAGGATTGCTTCTGCTGTTGGTTGAAGTAACTTCTTAAGGTTAACACTTTGTTTCCTGCACTGGAAGAGGATGATATCTGTTACTTCTAAACTGTGGCTAATCGATGATAGCTGTGGTTGAATACATACACTTAGAACAAATCTACAATTCCATGGGCCACTTGTTTCAGCACCACAGAGGTTGTCTTGTGTGGTTATTTTGAAACTAGTAAAATGTGATTACTCTTCATATGGCCCTGACGCGAAGGACCCTTGGCATGATGCTTCCTCCTTGCATTGCAGTAACTGATGCAAAACCAGCTACCCTCAAAGACCCCACTTGTCTGCTAATTAAATAAAACTACATCTTGTATTAAAATTCACATCCCCAAAATATTACTTTATACAATCATTCTTATTGACTGTATATTTAAACACATTCTTTAACAACTTAGAAACCTAAAAAGAAAACTTTCATTACTGAATCCCGACTTGTATAAACAAAAGTGGCCCATTGAAGGCACTAAATAGGGACACATTTTAGCTTCCTAGCACTGCCAAAGTTATACTCATTTGAAATTATGCCGACTTTTGCATTATAGCACAGCATCTGTATGTCTATGTATTTAATATTTTAGCAAAGGTTGACTACTTTCTTTTACCTATGTAAATATATATAAGGTTGTATTTTCCCCACTGCTTTAAATGGAAACTTCCATTGCTTGGGATACATGGATGTTAATGGTACAACTGAAGATAAAAAAAAAAAACAGAAAATATTATGCACTTTTATCCATGTACTGGCACTCACTACAGAGTCTTAGTAAAGCTTACTCTATGCAGTAAAAAGCAAATATTTTTTTAAAAGACTGGAATCCAAACTCAGATTTTCTTGGCTCTACAATTAGAAGGAGATTTAGAGAATGTAAGGAAGATTAACCTTTTCACCATGTGGATTGACGCTGTTTAACGCCACGCCACCTAAAAGCATTTAGCACCTCCTGCAGTGAAGGAACACCAGTTTAGATGGAATCCTATGAGCATTATCAGAAAAAAGAGAGAGAAAAAAATGTTTGATTGGCACATTCTTCTGCCACTGAGAAAACAAACAAGTGAACCAATCTGAATCTGAATCACTTGGCTAATAGCTAGCAATAGCAGATTAGAGTTGGGAAGAGGTTGATTATAATACCTGATGATGACCGGTAGGAGATTCAAAGAACAAGTCAACATGTAATATTTGTTTTCCCTCTGTTGTTTGAAATAGCCACTTGCAGGTTTGGAGACAGTAATAAGAAAAGCGTTGGTGTAATAGTTTCTACCACAGAGAAAATAAAGACACATAATGAACTGGGTTTTTCATATTATAGTAGGAAGATAATTACATTGAAAAGGAACCATAGGGGACACATCTGTTTTGGTCTGCCCAGTGTACAGCCTCCCTCTTTAATAAGAATACCTCAAGTTTCCTTTGGAATACTACTGCTTAATTCTCAGTCACTGTGGATACAGCAAGGCTAATGCCAGTCTTGGCTCCAGGAATCATCATGTGACGTAAGTCTGGACAACCACAGTATCACCTGCTCTGCACTCCACATCACATCCTCCAGAGACATCTACAGTGGTACAAAGATAGGCTCACTTGGAATTCTCCTAGTGCAGTACAGAAATGGGGGATCTCTTTCTAGGAAGGTGGGCGGGACAGTAACTTGTCATCGTGGAGCTGCCAGATCATTACATTGCAAGGACTGTCCAACACAAAATCCACCAGATAAGAGAGCACTGCTGAGAGCTGGAAAGTGATTGACACCTGACGCTACTGTCCTAGATCCAGCTGTGCTGAGGCTTATTAACTAGAGCAAAGATTTTCTTCCATTGATTATACCACTTTGAGTTGGATTTTTGTTACTTGAAAACAAAATATTCTGAGTAATTCAGAAATATTGACAGATTTGAGAGTTTTCTAATATCCATAGTAGCACTTTCACTAAATCCATGCAGACTTCAATAATAACTGGCTGGAGCTATTGAGCCACTCTTTCTTATCCATCTGTCATCCATCGATTCTTCTTAAGGCAGGTAAGCACATACTGTGTCCCTAGCATTGTTTTGGCCTTGAGAACACAAGGTTTAATGAGACATGGACATGCCCCCTGCAGTTCAGAATTTAGTGAGAAGACAGACACACAAGCAGATAAACAATGTACTGTTAGCCTGTGGAGGAATCGGTGTGTGACTGCCCAGAAGGGACAGACAAAGCTCTGTAGAGGTGAAGATGACAGGGAGATGAGAGGAGCTAAGAATTTCCTTGGTGAAGGAAGATTTTCAGGGTGTTCTAGAGACAGCAGGTGCAAAAGATTAGGAGTCAGAGAGAGAACATAAAAATAGTAGGTTGAGGAATGAGAGATAGTTCAGATGTGACTGAAGCATAAGAGGTATAGTTGGTAATGGCCAGATATGAAATTGGACAGGTCTGGTCTTCTCTTTATCATGAGTGGCTGTGCCAGCTTTCACCTTTGTGCTGCAGATCATTTCAGTAGTTCTTATTGAAGTATCTTACATGTTCCTCTTCACCTGACCGTGTTATATGTTCTCTTCAAGGCCTACCTTTGATCTTGCCTAACCCAATAATGACTC